CTATATATCATTTACATATTAAGGAGGCAATTCAGAATAAAAATTAACAAAGGTACCATATGAGTCTTTCACTATGCACCTAATGGAATTAAGTACCAGGGAGTGGGGTGAGGTGGGGGTGGAGTCCATGGCTTTTTATGAGATGGTGCTTTTACTGTAGGTCTCTTGACAGTGCAGAGATGAAGTGAATCGGCCACTTTGTGTGGCCTTGTCAGTATTTCTCCCTAAGCACCGATTCAGATTGTTCTGGGCAGGCAGTAATAGAAGGAGGATTCCAGAAGTATTCCCATCTTTGCTTTAAATTTGTTGTTTCCCTTAGCAACAACCTGATTTGCTAACTATTGCCATAGAAATTGAAGGCAAAATATATAAGCAGTATGGTCATACAGTTTATATTTTAAAACCATCTTCTTTTTTTTTTTCCCCCCCCCTTTTTATCCATATTAGTCATTTAAAGGACCCTGACTTGTTTTAGGCTCTGTTCTACTTTTTCTGGTAATCACATGGATACTTCTTGATCCTTATGGGCCAAGCTTGTCTAGTAGTATCTGTTCAGCTTTTCTGCAAATGTACCTTTTCAATTTATATATTTATCTTATAAGAATAGAAAGAAGAGTGAAAAAAAGAAACCAAGAAACATTACCCATGTGATGTTTTTTGAAATCATGTGGGTCTTATTATTTGTTTTTTTACTGTGACCACTTAATTCAATAGTAGTCAACTTCTATGTCTAATACATAATCTTTTTAAAGAGAATAGTGTTTTGATGTGAGCTCTGGTAGCATAGTGCCTAAGGCACTTGACTGCTAACCAGAAGGCTGGCAGTTCAAACCCACCAGCCACTCCTCAGAAAGAAAGTTGGGCAACCTACTTCCATAGTGATTTGTTGTTGTTTCTTCCTTCCAAGGAGTGGCTGGTGGGTTTGAACCGCCAGCCTTCTGGTTAGCAGTCAAGTGCTTTAGCCACTATGCTACCAGAGCTCCTCGGAAACCCAAGGAGGGGTCACTATGAATCGGGTCCCACTGGTCGGCACATAACAACAACAACAACAGTCTTTTGATGCTTTGTATTCCTTGGGCAGCCTCCTCAAGGTTTGTATATTCTTCACTATGCTGCATACATACTCCTGGGACGAATTCCTCTCAACCAAAAGTAAACTGATTCTGACTGCTAATGTTTTGTTTTGGCACCTGGTTTTAAAAATACTCTCATCAAATTTTCTATAGCCTGATACATTAATTAAACAGGTAATTATTGAGCATTTACAACAATTACATGGCAGATGTTGGTATACTACAAATAGAACAATTAAGATTAAAGTCCCTGTTTTCAAACAGCTCAGAGTCCAGAGGAAGATGTAGGCATGAAAATGGGCAAGCAGGGTAGGGTGATACGGACATGATGGTGTGAGGGCAGAGGGCCTTGGAGAGGAAGCAGACCAGCATGTAAGTCAGCTTTTCAGGGCCATGTGAATGCTTCCTGGAGCTTGGTTTTGAAGGATGAGGAATGATTAGCTAAATTTGACTGGCCATTAATGAGAGAAGAGGTCGGACACAGAGGGATTGGCCAGGTCCTGCATGGCGTTTGTGCTGTGCTCGGAGAGTAGGTTTTATTCTGGAAGCAATGAGGAGCAAACAAAGCA